GAAGATCATAAGCTAATGGGCATATATCCAGTCGCTAAGAATGAATGAATGTGTAAATGAGGTTGTGGTGTGGGGGACCGAAGGGGCTGGTAGGAGACAGAGGCACCCATCAGTGTGGAGTGAGGCCTTTGCTTGGAAAAAAACAAATCTTGGTTTATTTCTCCAGAAGCACCAACCACGGAAGGTTCCGTGGAGTTCTTTTGTGGTTAAGTGCTTCTTTGGATCATTTCAAACTCTTATTTTCTTCACTTATTCGCGTCCAAATGTAAATCCTTTCAGTATTAGCATATTTTCTTCCCTTTTATTTTTGAAGTTAATCTAAAACACTTTGGGTAGTCAGTTTTATTGAGCTTTTAAGAATGTTTTTGAGTGATTCATAGTCATTTAAATCCTTCTAAAATCTTGGATGTTGCTAAATTTCAGCCTGTAATTTTCTTCCTTTGCTCCATATTGAAGCATATTTTTATGACACCGCACTACACCCATTGCAATGGTGAGCCTTTGTCAATTCATGCACATCTCTCCCACGCTGCCAAAGGGCGCGTTGTAAGCAGGAGAAAGGATGCTAAATTGTGGAGCAGGTACAAGGAGCGGGTCGTGGTGAGCCGAGAGGGCACCTGCACAGATGCTGGAGCACCTTTGCCCATCAGCCCAACATCTGCCAGCCTAAAAACTGCCGTTTCTATGAAATGGTTATCGAGAGATCTTTGTACATGCTGATGGCACATTTATTTGGACCCTCTGGTTTTTAATGGCTGCTTAGTATTCCATGGTCTGGGCATCCCGTGATTTATTTCCCATGCGCCTCTGTCAGATTTTCACATGTTCCATGAACTGTGTCACTTTGATGAGTTAAGAAAAAAACCTAATGTCATCCAGGTCTTCTGCCCAAATGACCCTCGACAACTCTTTTCATTTATTATAGTAGTTTGTACTGCCTCTGAACACGACGTAAGATGTTGACTCTAACATTTTTAATATTTTTAAAAAGTACATGTTTATTTTAGACTATTGGGGAATACAGAAACTCATGTGAAAATATAAAATTCAACAGCAATCAGAACACTTGGAATAATTTTAAACTTTTTTTTGATATAACTGTAAGTTCATCCACATCGAGTACGTCCTCCCTCCCTCTACCCCTCCCCCTTCCCTCTTTAACCCCGCCCCCTTTTCTCTCTACCCTCTCTCATATACACTAATGTACATTAGAATCTACTTTGAACACAAATTTTGTAACCTACTATTTTCTCTGAATAATGCATTGAGCCCTTTTCCAAGTTACTGTACATTCCTCTAAACAGTGGTTCTCAACCTTCCTGATGCCACGACCCTTTAATACGGTTCCTCATGTTGTGGTGTCCCCTAACCGTAAAATTATTTTCGTTGCTACTTCATAACTGTAATTTTGCTACTGTTATGTCTTAGGTGACCCCTGTGAAAGGGTCGTTTGATCCCTAAAGGGGTCATGACCCACAGGTTGAGAACTGCTGCTCTAAAACATTACTCGTAATCACTTTATTGTATCCTATCATAGGGACATACTGTAACTTAGTTCACTAAACTCTTGTAAGACTTTCATGAACTCTGTTTTTGTTTGTCTGATTAACCCATAGGTAGCTGATCTTCAGTGTTTTTGGTCCAAGTCATGCCATCCTTTCACAAGTTTTTTGTAATCACCATAATCTGAACCTTCTTAGTAAAAAAAAAAAAACTATTGTTCTTGTCTCTTTATGTAGTGTGTCTGATCTAGTGTTGCTAATATTGTACTGAAGGCTTAACCCAGACGCCGAACTGTGGCTCATGTCACTCATTGTGCAGGGGGAGCCTTGAGATACTATTGTTGCTTCGAAAGCATTTAAGTTGATTTGAGGGAAAAACAAGCCCATATTATGATTTCAGACCTCATTTATAACACTACAAAAATTATCTATTATTAAAATACCAGAATTTTGCTACATTTTACTGCTTGAATGCACTTGGAAGTTGTAATATTTTAGCCTCGTGAGAGAGATTTTGGAGATCGTCAAGCCCAGCTCCTCAGTTACCTGGAAGGGCTGAGTGAATTGTTCCAGGTCACCTTGACCCTAGTCCGTGAGAACCCGCTCGGCTCCTTTACGTCCCTTCCTCAGGACCGGCCAGCTCCGTGCGAAGCTGGGGTAGGCTCTGTTGCAGAGTTGATCTGTTACCTTTGGTCTTTTCATCACAACAGACAAATATTTGACAAATCTATATTCTTACTTTTGGAGAAAAGAGGGATGTGAAAGAGAAAGTGCAGAGCTGGAGAAGAGGTTGCCACCGAAGAACAAATGTTACACTGAGGGTGTTTCATCTTCGCTTATAGATGAGGCGTGGCTTGTATTTAAACTTCACTGCATATTATCTTTTTGCTTTATTTAATTAAAAAAATTAACATGTATGCCCTGGCCAGTTTGGTTCAGCGGTTAGAGCGTCAGCCTGTGGTCCAGAGAGACCCGGGTTTGGTTCCCGCTAAGGGCGCGTACCTCGGTTGCAGTTTGTCCCCGGCCCTGGTTGGTTGTGCGGGTGACAGCCACTTGATGTGTCCCTTTCACGTTGATGTCTCTCTCTCTCTCTCTCTCTCTCTCTCTTTCTCTCTCTCCCACTCTATCTGAACAAAAAGTGGAAAAATGTCCTCGGGTGAGGATTAAAAAATAAAATTAACATGTAGCTTTTCCTTTCCCTTTATTTAAAAACAAACTATTGAAGGTGCCTGAGGGAATGGCCATGTATCCAAGAAGTAGCCAGTGGGACGGGGCTGAGGAGGGGCCAGGGTGGTTGGGAGTGAGTGGTCAGGGCTGAGCACGCAGCTGGGGTGGCCGGGAGTGTGGTCACACACAGGGGCACTGGGCAGACAAGCAGATGTGTTCAGGATAACGGGGGCCAGACCTTGCTGGAGGGCAGTCACAAGTGCGGAAGGGGGAAGGCTGGGATAAGCCCTGGCTCGCCGTGGTGTTAATATCTACTTGTGTTTCCATCTGGACGTACCTAGGCCCAGGTGTGTGTGTACATCGCACATCTATTCCTAGCACTTATTCTTGGTTTCTAAATACCAGTCTCCTCCGAAAGCCAGGGTCCTTGGAGAAATGGCCAATTCCAGGGCCGGGGCCGGGAAAACACTCGATTCGCCGGAAAAGCCTTTTTGTGCCAGAAAGCAGAGCACCCAAGAAATAGTGAAGGCACAATTGAAACGCAAGTGCCAGCTCCCTTAGGCAGGTTTTGAACAATCTGAACATCCAAATAAATGATGATATTAATAGATTGTAGCCTACTGAGTAAAATAGGAATCTGTGCATCTCTTCTCATACATTTAATTGACTAAACAAATAAAGACTTTATCTTCCTTAGTAGGCAACTTGATATCAGAATTTAAAAGCCAGGTATTTGGCCCAGCTGGTATGGCTCAGTGGTTGAGCACTGACCCATGCACCAAGAGGTCGCCGGTTTGATTCCCGGTCAGGACACATGCCCAGGTTTGGGCCCGATCCCCAGTGCGGGGCATGCAGGAGGCGGCCAATCGATGTTCTCTCTCATCGATGTTTCTGTCTCTTTCTCCCTCTACCTTCCTCTCTCTCTAAAAATCAATGAATAAAAGCCAGGTATTTGTCACTGGAACCGAGGAGGGCGGCGGGACCACCAGTCTGGACTGGAGCTCGGCCTCGCGTCCGAGGGGTCCGGCGTGAGCACTGCTGGAGCGAGGGGCTGCATTCTCCCTCTTCATTTGTCTTTGTTTTATCTGCAGCCCAGTGGGACGATTTGCCTCTTGAAAATGATAAATATACTTTTCATTTGGAAATAATTTCAGACTTGGAGAAAGGTTGGGAGAAAACACGGAGAACCCAGATGTCCCAATGATTACCATTTTCACAACTTCCTCGGTCTCTGTAAATTGAGGACCTTGGAGGCATGTTTTATTGCTCCTGGGTAGGTCTGTGTGTAGGACACTTGCCTCTGGTGTCACAGTACAAATATCCAAATCAGAAAGGAAACGTTGACACGGTACCACATTCTAATCCCCACACCGGTCCACGTTTCTCCAGTGGTCCCAGTAATACCCTTTAGGGGTTCATCTATTTTTAAGCATTCCAGTCTCTCTTCTTGTAGTTTGGTTTGTTTGTGAATCTTTCACATCAGAGGCTATTTACCTATTAGGTGTTTGGGAGTTCCTGCACCACGCAATTAAGTTGAGTGGATGTTCAGTACGCATGGTGGGCTTCCCTGCAGGGAGCCTCAGAGGAGACCGGGTGATCACCGCCAGTTCTTTCCTGGAGTGATCAGCTAGGAGAGGAAACCTCCAGCCAGCTTCCTGCCAACATTCTTGGGCCAGCGAGGCGAGCGGCCCGGGAGCCCTGCTGTCTAGGCGGCAGGACTTGGCCTGGAGGTCTGTGTTTCTCAGGGCCCCCCCACCCTGCCTGGGACCCAGAGTTCAGACACACTGCAGACAGGAGACTTGCAGTTTTCTGCATGATTGAGGGGAAAGGTCACCTGCTCACTGACTCTTTTTTGTGTTTGTTTTACTAGCTTTTCAATCAATCCTCCAGTGTTAGCTCCACCCCCACTCTATGTCCATGGTTTCTGGGACTCTAATTCTGAGTCTCCCTGGGGTTCTTGGTCGTAAATGTGCCTCTTTCTCCCTAATTTACCATTTTCTCCTAGGGTTACTTTTCAGCTTTCTCTGCACTGATGTTTCAGTTACCCCTAGACAATCGGATTTCCAGTTCCCAAAAAGTCAGCTTTGCTTGGTCTCTTCTTTCTACCTTGAGGCTTTATGCGTTTTTGGTCTTGTTTTATTTTTTATTTCTTTGTTTCTTTGCTTCACAAGGAGCTGAGATAAAAATAAATGTTCACCATACCCTATTGAACCAAGAATCCGATTACCCTTTTTGTTCTTGACGTATTTCATTCATCATTGTGGTGTCTGAGAAAAAAATTTTAACTCTTTTTTCCTGTAGATGTTCATATCTGACTGTCTTGTTCCTCAGGATGCTTCGCTGATGGACATGAATTCCTTAAGCCCTTTGATGCCAACATCCCCTTTGTCCATGATCAACCAGGTCAAGTTTGAGGATGAGCCAGATCTGAAGGATCTCTTCATCACGGTCGATGAACCCGAGAGCCACGTCACCACCATTGAAACCTTCATCACGTACAGGATCATCACTAAGGTAAACACTCAATGGACATTCTCTTGAGTTCCATCGCCGTCTTTGAACTTCGGAAGTGCTTCTTGTTCGCTGTGACTCAGCATTACGGAGTCTTTGCCCAGTTGACTCGTGGTTTTTCCTCAACCATTTTGGGTAAGATGTGGCATCTTATCTACGCTTCTCTTGCTCTGTATCAACAGTCAGCGTCGAGATAACTCGAGTAACTGTCACTCATGTTTTAGGAGTTGTGCTTCTTAAAATAGGAACATTTAAAGTTTTTCATTTCAAACATTATAAAGAATTATCTTTGGAAAAGAAGAACCTCAGTTTGCTAATAAAAAGAACACTGAGTTAAAAACACAGTGTGACCCTGGCTGGTTTGGCTCAGCGGTTAGAGCATCAGCCTGTAGACCAGAGAGTCCCGGGTTCAGTTCCCGCAAAGGGCACGTACCTCGGTTGCAGTTTGTCCCCGGCCCTGGTTGAGGTTGTGTAGGTGGCAACCAGTCAATGTGCCTCTCTCACATCAATGTTTCTCTCTCTCTCTCTTCCTCCTACTCTCCCTCCCACTGTATCTGAAGATAAATGCATAAATTTCCTCGGGTGAGGATAAAAACAAACAAAAAAACACACATGTCTTCTGAAGATTAAAGGAAATACTTGTGTTTGTTGCTCAGAGCAAAGCAAGAGGCGTCTTCACCACACGCACGAGGTGCTGCTGTTTTCCAGTCGGTCCGGCGCAGGAGCTCCAGAGCCCAGGGGTCCCTCGTCCTAGGACAGGCTACGCAGGGAGACTTTACCTTGGACAAAATAAAACAGCCCCATGGTATAACCATGTTATTTTTATCCTCATTTATTAATTGCTTTTTAGAGAGAGAGGAGGGAAGAGAGAAAGAGAAACATCGGTTTGTGGTTCCACTTATTTATGCATTCATTGGTTCATTCTTGTGTGTGCCCTGACCAGAGATTGAACCCATGACTTTGGTGTATTGGGATGATGCTCTAGCCAACTGAGCTACCGGGCCAGGGTGAGTATAACCGTTCAGAGAAGACCTGGTATCACAGCAGCCTTTCCGGATTGCACTGAGAAGTTGTGATTTCTGTTATGAAGTGCCCCCTGCATCACTGGGAGCTGACGAGGTTTAGGACTGCCTTCCGGTCACCTCGTCCAATGAGACTTCCCAGCCCTGCCAGCTGCGCCCTCAGGATGCACGGCCTGAGCTCTCTGCTCAGATCCTCCAGGTCCCTCTCGGCTCCTCACTTCCTACGCAACAGGCAAACGCCTTTGTCGGCACACACAGCACTCTCCGCTGGTGTCCACGCACCAGGCAGCTCATCGCTACTCCCTGTCGGTGTCTCTGGCTCCCTGAGTGGCGGGGTCTTTCTTGCTCTCCTGGCTTTGCGGACGCTTCCTTCGGTCTGGTATGCCCTGTCCCCTCAAACAGAACAGTGACTGTTTCTTTCTGAAAGACCCCCTCAGAAGGATGCTCACCCCTGCCCCCTCACCCCTGCAGGCACAGAACTTCTGTTTCCTCCTCCTGCTCCACCTGAGCTCTTCAGTCATTGGAGTCAGTGTGGCAAAGACAGTGAAAGCCTGTAGTCAGTCCTTCTGAGCCCGTGTTTCATCTGTAAACGGAAATGGTACAGACCCCGGGGCTGCAGTGCTGCCGTGAGAGTTGACGCAGGACAGGCAATCCATGTGGCACAGCATAGGGCTGACTCACCGGTCTTCGGCCATGGTCACCTGCCCGCACCTGGGCAGATAACTACCTGTTTGTGTTTATTCCCAAGAGTATGTGAGCCTCCCAAGGAAGGTGACCGTATCTTAGTTTTTTTCTATGATTCCAAACACAATCTTTATTGGGTTATTTGGATATACTAAGAAAACAATTTGAGCCCGGCCAGTGTGGCTCAGTGGTTGAGCTTCGACCCATGCACCAAGAGGTCGCTGGTTCAATTCCCGGTCCGGGCATATGCCCAGGTTGTGGGCTTGATCCCCAGTGGGGGGCATGGAGGAGGCAGCCAGTCAGTGTTCTCTCTCATTGATGTTTCTATCTCTCTCTCCCCTTCCTTCCTCTTTCTCTGAAAGCAATAAAAAGAAAAAAGAAAGCAATTTGCGTGAGTGAAGAACTTCTCGGTGTCACAGACGTGGCCTGGGGTTGGATCTTGATTCCTCCCCTTCCTTGCTGTGTATCTTGGGTGACTTAATCCACCTCTCTACGCTTAGTTTCCTCATTTGTAAAGAAGATAACAGCATTACAGTCTTAGGGTCTTTGTGATATTCGTGCAGACATAGTACTGAGAGTCGAGGCAGATTTCTCCTGTTCCTGCTGTTATAATTATAACCATCCCATCGTCATCCTTTCCAGCGAAGGATTTCTGAAACAGTTATTTTCTCATCACTAGTTCCTCTTAGAAAGACGCCTTCTCAGCCACCCAGTGCGTTTCCTTCTGATGTAGCTCACAGTTCTCGTGGGTGTCCCTGTGTCCCTCCTCTCGAATGCAGACACGGGGACAGCGTGACGTGAGCTACGTGCACTAAGCGCACCGCCCGGCGATGCTCTCACTTCAGGCCACAGCCCCCGGGACCTGCAGGCGCGGCTAGCCCTGTCCTGGGGCCGGCGCACGGCCCTGCTGGAAGTTGAACCCGGGTTCCACACATCAAGATTCGCCGGGTTGGGGTTTAACCCGGACCGTTTGTGTTCGTACTACATGTTTCCTGCTCACTTTCTGTGCATCTCGTCTTCCAGTTTCACTCTGATGCATTCAGTGTCTTTGTTCTACTTTTAATTATTCTTACCACATCCTAGTATATAGACTGTACCTACATATCAGACTGTGCATTGCGGGCACAAATACATACCATTTCGCAGATGTGTAGCATCTCTTCACACAGTGTCTCCTTCGTTATCAAGGCCCCACTCTCTCGTGGACTCCACGAGGTTCGCTGAGCGCCAGTCACATCCCAGGCACTGGGCTGGTACATCAAGGCGATGCCAGCAACCCACGCAATCACCCTCTGCCTTCCTGCAGCTTCAATTATAGGCTTAACTACCGGATTATAAACACTAGGGCAGAGAAATACAGCATTTTTGAGCATGGGGTACCCCATCTAATTTCGAGGTTCAGAAATGGCTTCCCTGAGTTTTTGTTTCATAGGTTATAAGGATAGCTGCACATAGACATACTTAGGAATACGTGAGAATGTCTGTAAACGATTATATCAGGAAACCATGGTCCTGGCGTCTGTTGCCCTGTGGGAAATTATGTTTTATTCCCCAGATTGGACTATCTCAGGGGCCTGCATGAAAAAACTACTTTCTCTTTTGGAGATCTAGGAGTGTGTCTTTCCTCGGTGCATTTAGAAGTGAGCACCAAGTTTAATGAGAGTTTTTCCTCACACATGCTCATCGTGAAGACAAACCCGTAAATGCCCACCAGTGTGCAGGTGGGCTTAAAGCATATTCTTGATTCTAAGATGCATTTTCCCTCAAAAACAGTTTTCTATATCCTCAGAGCTAAGAGTAACTGTTCTTGACCAAAGGTCAGAGTTTGTTTAGTGAATGCATGTTGGGGTGTAGATCTCATGAGTCCATAGTCCTAAACTCCAAGTTCCCAAGCATTTGTGGTAAGACGGAAAATTAAACACCATTTACTGTAGCTTCCACGGAACACTGTATTGTAGACTAGAAGCGTTATTTGTGCTCCGAATGAGCTTCTTAGAACACACCTGCTTTCCGAGTTCGAGGTCGGTTGTCAGCTCCCATTGTGCGGCATCTATCTGTCTTCAAGTGACCCAAATTGGCCACTTTAGATGGGACGACAGTTCTGTCCCTGCTGCAGGGAAATGAGTTATGATCTGAACCCAGCTGATAGCACTTGTTTTCCCTGTGATAGTCATATGTCTGTCTTACAGCCTTTCAGGGGCAGGGAGTCTGACCGTGGGAAGGAGGAAGGAGCGCCTGCCCTCGGGCCCGCGCTCCCCCAGCTGGCGCGTCTCCTAGGGCCCCTGCGAGCCCCCGACAGCGACGGACACAGAGCCACGGTCCCGGGACTTCATTACATCTTCCTCTGGTTCTACGTTCACTTAAAGTGTTAGAAATTCTTGAGGACATATAAAGCTCCATTTTAACGCCCAGTTTTTTAGTTTTCTCGTTTTTAGTTATGTCAGTTTATTTATTTTTTCCTGGAAATTGGTAGTGAACCTTTACATATGTGCCTGGTACAAGGAGGTGTTCAATAAATAATTTTTTTAAATATTTTTTTATTGGTTTAGAGAGAGGAAGGGAGAGGGAGAGAGAGATAGAAACATCAATGAGAGAACATTAACTGGCTGCCTCCTGCATGCCCCACACTGGGGGGCCCACAACCTGGGCCCACAACCTGGGCACGTGCCCTGACTGGGAATGAAACCTGCCACCTCTTGGTGCATGGGTTGACGCTCAACCAGTGAACCACACCAGCTGGGCTCAATAAATATGCATAAATATATTTTTAATCCTTACCCTTGGATGTTTTTCTATTTACCTTCAGATAGAGTGGGTGGGAGGGAGATGAAGAGAGAAACATCGATATGAAAGAGACACATCGACTGGTTGCCTCCCGCACAACTCTGACCAGGTCGGAATGTACGTGCCCTTGCCTGGAATCAAACCCAAGAGTCATTGGTCTGCAGGCCGACACTCTAACCGCTGAGCTGAATCGGCCAGGGCTTAATGAGTGACTCTATAAACTATGTTCAGTGTGCGTATGTATGTTTGCATCTGTATATTTGCATGTGCATGTACACACACCAACTCATATATATTGTTTATCTACATCTCTTCTAGATTTAATTTTGCTATTTTTATCATTTCTATAACCTGTCCTGTTTTGCATAATACTTAAGATTTTATAATGTTTTGTGAACATTTAGTTCTTTAGACTTCTGCATTTCACTTCCACTTTTCCACTAAAAAGGGAACATTTTACTAAGCTGCATTGTGCAATATTCTAAGCATGCATTTTGAAAGAAGAAACCTTGGAAAGTATAGCTTATGTGAGCCTTGTTTCATGACAATTAAGATTGCTTATGACTTGACCTGCTGAATTCTACAACTGTGTTTATCTCTGTGGGGGACATATTTCTGGGGAGTGTGAAATAGGTGTGCAATGTTATTCCATCTGTACTCCAGCGAAATCTCAACCTTAATATCACTGTGTACAATCTTTAGTATGCAAAAATTCAGTTAAATAGGTCATTGGTGGGACTGACTGACTTCTGAGAGGTGAGTATGCATCAGTCTGTTTTTGTATCTGGCTTAGACTTTGGTAGTAGAAGTGAGGTTGATACTGTATCCAGGTTCTGGTCATATGTGTTGGCATAGGTTTTTGGTTTGTTGACAACAGATATTTTAATATACTTGCTTAGATTCTGGAAGTGAAGACTATAACTCAAATTAAAATTCCTTGAGAAATGACAGGAACCTTTTTTCACATCAAATCCCCATTAATAACATTTTTACAACAGTAGGTAAAATCACTCCATAAAATGTTAGAATTTTCATAGATTCAAAGCAAATTTTAGCAAAGCAATTCATTCGAGCAAATTCCAGGAAAACATTTTTTTTCTCAGTTGTGTTCAATTTCTTTTCCAAATTGCAGTAATGGGACTTCCCTCAAATTCTGAATTCCAATCATCTCGAGAAAAGACATATATTTGAAACCTAAATTCAGAACACTCTCTCGTTAGCAGGGAAGTCGTGCCAACGAGAGTGGTGGTGGCATCGTGTGGAAGGCAGATGGGCTAAGGCAGGTTTTTCCGTTTGGATTTTAAACGTGAGCAGGATGCTTGCTTCCCGCTGGAAATACTGGAAAGATTGCTTTGTTTCATCTGCTGCATGAAGTGATGACTGCAAAAAAGAAGTGCAGGCTGACAAACACTGAATAATTAGAATTTGTGAACGTTTCTCAGGGGCCCATTTATTTTCAAATGTCTAAAATCACAGTAGGCGATGTCTTCTGTTTTAACATTGCATGTGCTGTTATTTCCTCCTCCTTTTCTGCAGACATCTCGTGGGGAATTTGACTCCAGTGAATTTGAAGTCAGGAGACGTTATCAGGATTTCCTTTGGTTGAAGGGAAGACTTGAAGAAGCACATCCCACTCTGATTATCCCAGTGAGCTGACATGTTTTTCATAGGATCGCCCATGAATCGTTAAATGCCAAAAACCAAATTCCAGACCTTTACACTCAGTGTAATTCCTTTATCTTGGAAACATTTGTTTTTAAACTTTTCCATCTAAGTACAGATTTGCTTTTTTAAAACTGTTGTAATGTTAAAATTGTGTCGTGTTTGGTTTTAGTGTTGTGAATTTTAAAAATTATCTTTGTGAGAAATCCTCACAGGCTCAAATAGTCTTGTGAAATGGAAACGTGTAGAACTTGTCCGGCCCTGCGCCACCTGCAGCTCAGGCACCATGTTCATGTTTTGCCCCAGCCGCTGCCGGAGAAGTTTATGGTGAAGGGGATGGTGGAACGTTTTAACGACGACTTCATCGAGACGCGCAGGAAGGCGCTGAGTACATTTTTGAACCGAATTGCTGATCATCCAACTTTAACATTCAATGAAGACTTCAAAGTTTTTCTTACTGCACAAGCCGGGGTAAAGACTTCTGATTTACACTCATATAATCCTCTAGTGTCTGTATGTATAGAAGGTTGTACCCTTCCTCTTACTTACCTTCATAAGTCAGGCAGCGGGGTCCTTAAATTAATAATTTTTAAACATTGGAGGCATTTAACCCTGTGTGAAATCTACGTCTAACTATTGAAGAAATCTTGTATCTTTCTCAATATATTGCATGCTCATATTTCTCTTGGTAGCTGATTTTTTAAATGCCATATATAGTCAATACTGAACATATACAAATATATTTCTCTTATTGACACTATTTTGAGTAGTAATGGATATTTATTTAAGGTAGGACTTTTCAAGTTAGGATAGAAGTCTTTATTAGATGGATGGATGGATGGATTGGTAGATACCTAGATAGATAATACAATTTCTTACTTTTCCTGCAATTACTGATTTGGGGGTGGGTCTCATTTCTACAACAGAACCAGTACATGTTCCTCTTCTATTTTCTTTTCTCCTGTGAAGCTATAACTCATCAAGAAACATCTCGGACAGCACCAGTAATGTTAAACAATGATTGACCAATGTTGAGTTTACTCAATTTCTCAGTTGTTGCCAAAGTGACAGAAGCTAGACAGTGGTTCATCTCAGCCTTGACAGATAGTCCTGCTGTCCGGGAGCCCTTTGTGACTGTTGTGAAATGAACTGGTGGGCTGACCCCGAACCCTCGAAGCTCTGGGAACATTGTCTGCAGTCAGCGGTGGCTGCGGCAGCTGGCCGGTGGCGGCCTGTGCTGCCTCTGGATGTCCACACTGTCAAGCGACTCTGTAGCCCCCTGGCTCACTGGGCTGCCTGGGCAGGCCGGCACCTCTCCTTACCTGCACACACCGTGATCCCACTTGGATGTTTTTGTTATCACCCAAGTCTGTCCCTGTCCCTCTTGGGTTCACTGAAATAGCTAGTTACGTGTCTTACTAAAAATCTTTCCCTACAGACAGACAGCTAGTGGAGATGGTAGCCCAGGTGACCCCCAGTGAGCTGAGCCATGGTAGGGAGTCTCTATTAACAGACTATTCTGGTCACTTCATGAAGACGAAGCAGGTTAGTGCTGTGCAGTGAGCCCTCTGAAGTCAGCTGCCCCCGGCTCTGAGCCCTGGCCCCACACACTGCTCTTGGACTGAGACTTACTCTTCCTGTGCCCCCATGTCCTTCTGTGAAATGAGGGGATGAAGAGAGTTATGTGCGTAAACTGCACGATGGGGCCTGCAACGTATCAACGTGTTTGCTCCCCTGTGACGAAGGGTTAGCGCAGGGTTCCAGACCTGTTCAGAGAGTGAGGCGGACCCTGAGAAACCCTGTCTGTCACTCTCCCGCGCTGTCCCCACGGTAAAGGTGGCTCGCATCTCCTCTTCCCGCCTTCGCCAGCTCCTTCCTCGGCACCTCCTCCGGGACCTGTCCTAGGAAAGCCCTCGGCGCATGTTTCACTTCGAGGGGGTGTTATCAGGGGGACCGAGACCCAGACTTAGCGCTGTACCTAAGGACACGCCTCTGCTGCGAACCACCGAGAAAAAAAGATGAATAGGAAGCATTTTCATTACCTTCAGTTTATTCTTCTCCTCCGTTCCTTTCCCGCTGGGTCAGGGGACACTGGTGCCTGCTGACCCCGACATGGCGTTTTTCTGTCCTAGGAACTGTCTTCTCACAAGAAGCAGGGGCCGGGGCTGCTCAGCAAGGTGGGCCAGACCGTCCGAGCCGTCGCGCTGTCCCTGAGAGGCGTGAAGAGCCGCCCCGAGGAGTTCGCGGAGATGAGCGACTTCATTGAGGCCTTCAGCCAGAAGATCAGCCTGATAGACAAGATTTCTCAGAGAATCTGCAAGGAAGAGAGGGGTGCGTAGAGTTACTGGAACGTGAGTTTAAAGCTGCTCGACTTCTGACATCACGTGCCGTGCTGGGGGAAGACAGGGTGAAGTGAGCACCCCCTCTGCTCCCCGTGCCTGTCTGTTCTTGCACCCCGCTTCACCCATCAGTCCTCAGCATCTCATCACAGCTATTTCACATTCCCGCCCTGACAGTTCCAATATCCGGCACGTCTGATGCCTGCTGTCTCGTTGGATGCTGTTTTTTGCCTTCTATAAGCCTTGTAATTTTTTGGTAGCTGGGCACGAAGTGCCTGGTGAGAGCAGGTGTGTAAACAGCGGTCACACGGCGGGGAGGTGGGGCAGGGCACGGCCTCAGTCCGAGGTCTCAGACTCAGTTTGAGCGAGCCGCGCCTCTGGACTGAGCCGCACTAAAGGCTCTCAGTTCTGTCTCCCGCCTTAGCTGGGGCAGGATGACCAGAGTGGGCCGGAGTTGGGGCCTCTCTCCCTGCAGGTCAGGCTCTGTAAGCAGTTTCCTCTGAGGTCGGCCTTGCTGTTCAGCATCCATTTCCCCAAGCCCTGGGCACAGCAGGAGTTTTTATCCCACAGACTGTGGGAACCTAGACGAGCTCCTGGGGGGACTCACACAACATTCTGGGGACTAGGGCTGTCTGGAGTTTTTACCTCTTAGGTGGTCCGCCCAGACCTTTGGCTCCTTCTCAGTTCCAGGTCCAGTCTCCCTGCCTCGGCACTGGCTCCAGAGCTGGTTTCCGCTCTTGAGTCTCTGCCCCAGAAAGGCCCGATTTCTGGCCTCTGCTTGTCTGTCATTTCAGTCCTGGAGACAGCAAACTGGATTTTGTGATAGACTTTGTAAACTTGAGCTCTCATTTACGGGGGTTCATGCCAGGAACCTAAACTTGAGGGATCTCTTCTCTTGATTCCGCTCAATATGATGGAATGTCTTCCTTTGTATTTGGGGGGCCTAAACTATAGCGGGCATTTCGTTTCTATTCAAATCAAAGAACTTGGTGATCGCAGCCAGAGGGCTCTCTTTTTATTCTTTCACTCAGCTTTTCCTTGACTTTGTTTATTACGGTTCTCCTGGTTCACTGGGCAAGTTTGTATCGACCCGCACTGGGCTGCTCACCTGTGCCAGGGGCTAAAGGAGGCCTACGGTGCCCCAGGCTCCAAGTCTGCGTTTGCAGTCTGGTGGGAGAAACAAATGTGATTTGAGAGCTGTGTAGTCAGTTTAGACGTTAAGGGAAGCTCTGTATTTATCTTATAATTGATCAAAATGGGTATTGAACAGATTAAATAACACACATTGACATATACACAAATGGGGACAAGAAATAATGAAGAATATCTTATTGTCTAGAAATATTAGCTTAGTATAGCTTTCCTTTAAAATACACGGTAGGCCTAGATACGGAGGGTGGGTTTGGAAGGTCATTAAACCAGTACCTTTGTTAGATGAACACTAGTATTTCCACTGTTTTAAATTTTTTATAAATTTTTTTTCAGTTTACTTCAGCATACAAACTTTTGAAATTATAATCCTTTCATTTAGAGCAGTATGACATTATAGCTAACCCTAAGGAGCAGAAGAAGATGATTAAATATGGAGAACTTAGTTTTATTTATATGGCTACCAGACAAAGAGAAAATGTTCACTGCTTACACATTTCCTACCATGAAAAACTGTCACTAAAAGTTGATAGTATGAAAGCAAAAATGTAAAAGTATTTAGATTTTAAAATAAAGTACAAATTTTTGAATAAATGGTTTATCAAGCATTGAAGAGTCCTTTGGTTATTTATTTATTTGTCATTGATATGAACATATTTATTGAACACATTATGTATCGGGCTTTGAGACTTTAGAAAAATGACGCTCGGCCCCTGTTTTAAGGAGCGTACGGCCTAGAGGGGTGTCAGTTACGCAGGCAGCCCTAACAGAGTGGGTGAACGTGTAAAATGACCACCGGCTCGAATAGAAGTACAACATCATGACAGGCTCATTGAGGACAAAGCACCTGAGAATCCTTTGGAACAAAATAATAAAAGATTTATTTACAATATGACATAAAGGGTTTAAAGTAGTTTGCTGGTTGATGGAAAGGGTAGAGCACCAGGCAGAGGGATACAGCTGTGTATGAATTAGGAGAAATCATGAGATATTCATAACTGAGCAATTGTTTTGGCTTAAATTAAAATATCTTTGGGAGAGAATCTCCGGAGTTGGATCCAGAGAGGCGAGGTGAGGACTGATCGTAAGGACTCTAACTCCTGAAAGACTTCGCTGGTTCTGTACTGCGGCAGATGCAGAGCGAGACTGCGTAAAAGTCCTTGCAGTGGTGCAGGTTAGAGGTGCTGATGATGATGGAAGTGAGGTAGGTAGGTAGGTGGAGGATGGAGGGATGGATAAGAAAGATTAAGATGTATTGGAGCCCTGGTCGGTTTGGCTCAGCGGTTAGAGTGTTGGCCTGCGGTCCAGAGAGACCCAGGTTTGGTTCCCATTAAGGGCGCGTACCTCGGTTGCAGTTTGTCCCCGGCCCTGGTTGGTCATGCAGGTGGCAGCCACTCAGTGTGTCCCTTTCACGTTGATGTTTCTCTCTCTCTCTCTCTCTCTCTCTCTCTCTCTCTCTCTTCTTCTTCTCTCTCTCACACTCTACCTGAGCAAAAAATGGAAAAATGTCCCTGGGTGAGGATAAAAAACAAAAAAGATGTATTGGAACCTGTGGTTGACTGCAGATACAAGTCTAGGCTACAGCATTACTGTTAAGGAAGACATGCTGTCAGGAAAAGGGGAGACGATGACGAGCCTTGTCCCTAGGTCACGGTGCCTGTGAGATGCTCAGGTGCAGTGTGTTTGGTAGGCAGAGGTCCATGAAGATACGGTGACCATGCGAGGTATCATCCAAGCCAGGGCACTCTTGAGAATGAAGACGGATGCTGTTGTTGATTACGCATGGACAGCAGGCATTAAGGGGCTGACCTGAGCAGACCGGGACGACTGGTCCAGTACTGAAGGGTGCTGTCCATCCCTTCTGTTCGTGTATAAGAACATGTGCGAAACAATGAAGCCCCTTTCTTACTGTCAGCAGGGCTTGTAAAATGTATAGAAACTGACTAACTTACTTTTTTTTTTTAGAATATTTTGATGAAATGAGAGAATATGGCCCCATCCATGTTCTGTGGTCGGAGTCAGAGGAAGATCTGGTCGACACGCTGCGGGGCGTGGCCAGCTGCATCGACAGGTGCTGTAGGGCCATGGAGAAGCGTCTGTCCGGCCTGTCGGAGGCCCTGCTCCCTGTCGTGCATGAGTACGTGCTTTATGGCGAAATGTTAATGGTAAGAACACCTAATTATACGTTTCCCTTAGTCCCTGGGCTGAGAAGCTTCAGAAAGGCAGTTTCTGTTTCTGCTTTGCACCGCATCTTCCTACCCAGCAGGATGCTGTGCCCACCGCCCCATGAAGTGGAAGGATACATTCATGAAAGGCAGGGCTGCAGCAGTAACAGCAGCGGTTGATAAGATTATACACAGATGTGAAGCACCCTCAGCCCAGGTTTAGGTAGAATATATGAGTCGTTTTTCCACCCTTTAAAATTTTTACTTTAAAAAGTTGTGGCGTGCCCTGGCCGGTTTGGCTCAGCGGTTAGAGCGCCGGCCTGCGGTCCCCAGACACCCGGGTTCGTTCCCGCTAAGGGCACGTACCTCGGTTGCAGTTTGTCCCCGGCCCTGGTTGGGTTGTGCGGGTGGCAGCCACTCGATGTGTCCCTTTCACGTGGATGTTTCTCTCTCTCTCCCTCTCCCTCCCACTCTATCTGAACAAAATATCAAAAAAGTCGTCGGGTGAGGATAAAAAAAACTCTGTATCATGTTTGAAATGCCTTGTCGTGAAAGAGTCACCCTGCCGCTGCCGGGTGGCACGTCAATCCGGCGATAGTTCTTGTCATCATGCAGAAGGCGCTTGGTGGGACCCCGATGTTTGCTCTGCTCTGGGAGCCCAGAGGAAACCCTCATATTAAACGTTTCCTTTTGCTGCTGGAAAAGGCCTTTCTTCCCTGGGAGCCACGTTTTTGTTGAGCCTTCTCCGGGCAAGTTCAGGTTTGCAGATATCTGGGACTTGGTGATGCTGTCTGCAAAGCCCGAGTCGTCCTTGGGGTCCCCTGCTCCCGCAGCCGGCACAGGCTGCTGCCGCGGGCCTGGTGTGTCGGGCTCCCAGGCACCCCGCTCCTTCCCCCACTTACCACTGGAGCCGCCGCTGGTTTCTATTTTCATGCACTCTTGATCGGGGGCTTTATTTTTTTATTTTGCCTCTGTCTTAGTAAGAAAAGCTGTCTTTGCCTTTCTGCATGAGATCGGCCTCTTCCGTGTTTATCAGTTAGGTTTGCCTTTCACAGTGCCATTGAACAGTCTGTGGCTATTCAGGTTTCTGTCGTTCCTCTACAGCATTGGGGTCCTCCTGGGGACAGACCCTTCTCACTTCCCAGGGCCGCTCATGTTCCCCCCGGCAGCCTCCCCTGGGCTCCCAGTGCCCTTGGCTACATCCTATCGCTTCACTTCATTTCGATCTCTTTTGTGTGACTGTCCAAAGAGAGCTGATTTGTGTCATTTAAAGGAGCATATTCTTTTCCCTTATTAGAGTGTTTTGCTCTTTATTATGTCAAGATAGAAATTATGCAATTTCAATCATGCATCATTAAAGGTAGGGAAAAATTATAAGAGCAGCCAGAAAGAATCATTTTGTAGGTCCTCCCTTGATTGTGTTATTTGGTAGACTCCTAGGGTATAATCAGCAGTACTTCAGCTGCAGGCTGGTTCTGTTTTATATCGGAAGGTTTTCTTCAGTGTGAGCTCAAATAATGAAAAGCATACGCCTTGACAAAATGATTACATTTGGGTAATTTTTACTACTTTTATTCTGAAGCAACCAGCCTCTTACTTAACATGTCTGCCTACATGAAGCACAGTACTTTGTATTTATGGGAACAGACTTTAAGTAAATGGGACTGAATGTTATATGTGTCATTGGGAAGGGCAAGGGTTCCTGACATTAATAGCAATTAGTGAAGTAAATATAAAAGAATTTGTGATTATTAGTTGAACTTTGCATTGATTTCTTTAAAAATGGAAGACTATTAATCTCTTTATTCATTCCTTTTTAACTTTTTTTCTTTATTGATTTTAGAGAGGAAGGGAGAGGGAAAGGGAGAGAGAGAGACAGAAACATTGATGAGAGAGACCATCGATTGGCCACCTCCTGCATGCCCCTGACTGGGAATCGAACCGGTGACCTCTTGGTGCATGGGTTGACGCTCAACCACTGAGCCACACCAGCTGGGCTCTTCATTCATTTTTTAGGATAGTTTCACAGGCACATAACTAGATTTAATAGTGTTCAGGCTGTCTCTCACTTCTCACTCGGATACCGGAGAGCCACCTCATCTGGGCCCCATGGAACTGACTTGTGTCTGGCCTCTTCCCTGCCTCTGAAAACACCCGAGAGACCTGTATCTCGTTAAGTCCCTTCCCTCGTATCTCCTTTGCTTTGACTCTCCCTGGCCGGATCATTTCCCCACTAATCTGTGGAGGCCACTGCTCTCGGGACCTTTTTGCTATCTGACTCACGCTGTGACAGCCAGCGGAGGAGGAGTGCAGATCCCAGGGCTCTGTGGCCCTGAGCCCCGAGGAGGATGTCTTGGAAGAAAAGCCACTCACCAGGGAAAGACGTTGTAAAAGTCTAGCAAACACTGTAAAAGTTACAGATGAATTCTGCACTCATATTCCTCCACAAAGGTGTGTTAAGTTTAATGCCACCGAAACAAGAAATCATGGTTATTCGGGAAGACAAGATGAAACTCCTATCAGTCGAAGAAAGGGCCATGATTTCTCATCCAAAGCTGGGCTAATTGATCAACATTTACATATAGAGAGCGATATATAATATCTCTATATAAACATTTACATATATTTTAAATATGTTTTTATTGACTTTTTTAGAGAGAGAAGAAGGGAGAGGGGGAGAAACATCGATATGAGACAGACACATCCATTGGCTGCCCCCTGTGCGCTCCCTACCGGGGATCAAGCCTGCAACCTGGGATGTGCCCTGACCAGGAATCGAACCGGGACCTCTCAGTCCATGGGACGAGGCTCAGTCCATTGAGTTACACCAGCCAGGCAACATTTATATATTTTAAGCTAAAATAGAATCTTAAGCTGTGAATGCTCTCGGGCCTGGCTCCCCGCTGCCACCGGCTCAGGAACTGTGTCTCCTTCTTGCCTGGGGCGCACCGTCGAAGTTGTTCCTGAGATAGCCAGACCAGCAAGATGCATGCTGGGAGGGCGAAAGGCTTCGAAGAAATGTCCCTACATACATGCTTTCAGTGTGGTTTTTAAAGATTGAAAAAAAATTTAAGTCATTATATCCCCAAGCGAATGATGACTGTTTATATTCTGAAATGTCTATGTTTGTGATACGGAGATTTTTAACTTCTCGTGTTTTATACGAAGGGTGTTATGAAAAGGAGAGACCAAATACAGGCGGAGCTGGAGTCCAGACTGGAAGCTGCGGCCCATAAGAAGGCAGACACTGACCTGGTAAGTTTGTCAGTTTCTTGCTGTGACTATAGAATTCTCTCAGCGACACAGAGCTCTGGAACGTGCTTGTTTTCAAGCGTCCAGCAAACGAGACTACAATTTCTCCCCAAAACCTAGCATACACTGAGTACCCAGTGAGTCTGCAGGCTTAACAAGAATGCTTTCTGCCTTTCTGTCTTATATTGTCTATTAAAATGAGTAAAATATGAAGTGAATTTTTTTAAATTGGAGGGTTAGAAGAAGGTAGGAAGTACCCAGCATTGTTCTAGAAGGTTAGCAAATACTTAGTATATAATTCCACTTATCTAGTTTTATAAGATATTTATACAAAATATGTTGGTTTCTTTTTTCTTTTAATTTTTTTTTCTTTATTGATTTAGAGAGAGAGAAAGGAGAGGGAGAAAGAGATAGAAACATCGATGAGAGAGAGCATGGACTGGCCACCTCCTGCACGCCCCCCACTGGGGATCGGGCCCATAACCTGGGCATGTGCTCTGACCAGGAATCGAACCGGTGACCTTTTGGTGCATGGGTCGATGCTCTACCACTGAGCCACACTGGCCGGGCCATTGGTGTTCTTATACACTTTGTTCTAGATATTGTAGAAACCTTTACAGAGGAGAAGTGTCCGTGTTTTCGAGTTGAATCCTTTTCTTTTTTTTTAATCCTCACCCGAGGATATTTTTCTATTTATCTTCAGATAGAGTGGTGGCGGGGGGGGGCATCGACCAGCTGCCTCCTGCACAACCCTGACGGGGGGTCGGGGGGGACAAACCACAACCAAGGTACATGCCCTTGGCCGGAATTGAACCCGCGACTCATTGGTCCATAGGCCAATGCTCTGCCACTGAGCCAAGTGGGCCAGGCTGAATCCTTTTCTTAAAGCGCCTTTTTATGGAAATTTTCAAACGTAAAAAGTGGTCCAATGATATAATGGACTCAAATACCCATCACTGGGCTTCATTAACTTTCAACATTCACCCAACTTTTCTCAGCTGTTTTTTTCCTCACTATTTTTTCCTGAAGTGTTCTCTCTCAAAGGATACTCTTTTGTTCTAGACCCTGTATTATAATTCCAGGTATGATATTCTCACACACAGTATTTTAGTATTTACATTTTGTTTTCAGAGTAATACTGTCAGATTGGAATTCCTATTCTCGTTTTAAAGCTGAGCAAGAGGCTTAGAAGCTGGAGTAACTAGGCCAAGTTTATATAGTTCTTGAAACACAGATGGGATTGAGGTGATGGTTTCATTTGCTTCCCTCAGACCATGCTGCTTCTCAGAGAGCAAGTTTAAAAAGGGAAAGATTAGCCCTGATCCATGTGGCTCAGTGGTTTGAGCGTCATCCCGTGCACCAGAAGGTTGCTGGTTCTATACCCAGTCAGGGCACATGCCTGGGTTGCAGGCTCGATCTCCAGTAGGGGTGTGCAGGAGGCAGCTGATTGATATTTGTTTCTCATCAATGTTTCTCTCTGTCTGAAATCAATTTTAAAAATATTTAAAAGGGGACAGTTAGCACTCTGGTTAACTTCTATTGAGTTCTCTGTGAAAGAGACTTTCTTAATCTTTTTTAACTCAAGGGTGTGGATGAGTATTGAGTACATTTACGGCAGATGGCAGACGAGTAGGAGCATCCTTGAGACCTCGTTAATCTGTGTTGTAGCCCCTCCCCCCACCCCTCCCATCCAAACTGCTGTCATTGCGCCTCACTTGACTCCTCTCCTAACGCAGCAGATATGGTATCCTTACTGCTTTTCTTTACGGTATCTTTCTTTCTTCCTCGCCGTGTCTATAATCTACGCACATTAAGGGCAGGACATTTTTGTCTCCTGAGGTGTCTCAGCCCCCAGCACCTTGCTGGGCAGAGGGCAGTCACTCAGTAAGCATTTTGTGGGTGAATGAATGAAAGGAACCGCAGTGATGGCTGTGATCCGCAACAGCACTGAGACTCAAAAAAGAAGTCGCTGCAAAATCAGCCTTTGTGCAAAACATTGGGACGTCACTGAAAAGTGGCTATGGATTATCCTCATCTTTCTGGATGACGTTTAGGTTTCAAAGTCAAGGTCATTCTCCTGAATGGGGTACGAGTGGGTGTGGTGGGCAGAGGAGGAGAATGGACTCTGTGAAAGAGAATAACAGAGAACGTCAAAGCAGTAGAACTAACCCAAGATGACCCTTTTCCATTCAGTAAAGGGCATGTGTGTGTGTGCGTGTGTGTGTGTAACTTTTTAATTTTATTCAAAGAGTCAATTAGCCCGGTGGGTGTGGCTCAGTGGTTGAGCATCGACCCATGCACAAGGAGGGTGCTGGTTCAATTCCTGGTCAGGGCACATGCCCAGGCTGTGGGCCAGATACCCAGTGAGGTGCATGCAGGAGGCGGCCAGTCGATGATCTCTCTCATCCATGTTTCTATCTCTTTTTCCCTATCCTTTCCTCTCTCTCTAAAATCAATAAAGAAAAAAAAAGAAACAAAAATAGTCAGTTAGAAGGAATAAGGGGGGTGTACATGTACAGAAATAGTAATTCTATCTTTTGAACTGTACAATTTTTTATTTGTTAAATAATTTTTAAAGATATTGAAACTAGTGATTAGATAAAATTTTGCTCTTGTCTAAATACTAGAAAAAGTAAATTATTTTTCAAGTTTCAGGAGAGTAGTAAAATGGCTTAAAAGCCAGACATCTGTTCAGAAGGGCTGCTATTCATAGTTCAAATGGGAAAGGAAAGGAACAGTGACTGGGACGACTCCAAGCGTAAATCACAGGAAGAAATAGCTTTCACCCAAATGCGGCTCGGCTTTCTGAACTCAACTATGAAAGCACACTTTTTTCATTTGACTTGCAAATATTTTGTCTTTTGCTCTATAAGAATTTCCTTGATATCTCGTTGTAACCTAATGATCCATCTGTATTTCTGATTCTGTTTGTGCATGCTAGGTCCGCTATAAACTATTTTTTATTTTTTTACCTAGTGAGCTGCTGTGTTGTGAGATCTGAGAAATTTGAAACTTCAGTTTTTGCATTGTATTCTGTAAGATACTTTTAATGAATTAGGGTTTGGAACAGACATCACAAATGTTTTTTTGTTGCCATCAAAACCAGTACTTCCGAGACCGTGCGGGAGTAACGGGGGTTGAGAATGGCGCCGCATGTGTTCGAGCAGTGTATGGTTCACAGCCCTCACTTCCGAATCCGTGTCAGGATGGTGTCTTTGGGAGAAACCTTCAAAATGAACCCGTCATGATTGGTCACAGAACAACTGGGGGGAAGTTGCTTAGAAATATGCAGGATAGGGTCACCATGGAAACGCACCCTCGTGAGGTCCTTGGAAGGAGCCATCCTTTGCAGTCACCATGGCGACCCTGGCAGAGAACTGAATATAGCAATCGAGCCTGGTTGTTTACCATGGCAACTCAAGCAGGGCCACTTTGGAGACCACCCCGGGGCCATTTCTATGGAGACCTGCTGGCGCTGCCCTCAGAGGCCTATCAGTCACTGTCGGTGGAGGCCACGGCGGATCGGTGAAGCAGCTCGGGGTCAGGTCTCGACCTGAAGCTCTCCCGGAAGGGCGAGGACAGGGCAGGCCCGCCGCCGGAGAGGCAGAGCCCGTGTCCCTGCAGCGGCCGCGCTGGACGCGGCAGGCGATCGCGCTGTGGGCTCTGGGCCTGCGCCTGCCTGTGGCTTGGTGTGTGCTGTCAGGTGGCGAGGTTGGCATTCCCATTAGTTTTTCTCCTCACTCAGATATGCCCCAAAACTGCTGTGTTTTCCTGCCGACTGAAAAAATGTTTTAGAGTGAATTCCTTTACTTATGGCCTGGACAGGTGTCAAGTAGCTGCTGCGTAGGGCTTGTGGTTTGTAGTTCTTATGGCGCAACAGTAAAATTCGTGGTTTCAGAAGGACCTAAACTCGGGGAAGACTTCCCATACTCGTGAAGGTCGGCGTTGCTGTTTGCTCAGCGAGTCTTGTCATTTCGGCTTTGGAATTATAGAGGCGTAGGGTCAAGCCCTACTCATTCGCCGGTTAAATCTGAGACCCAGGACGTGTTTTCAGCTCCTTTTAGCCTCATTTTTAGTTTTATCATATGTAAGTTGGGGAAATTATCAGTACCCTTCTGGTAGGCTTATTAAAAGATTACGTAATACGATGCAGGAAAATTATTTGGATGAGCGTGTCACTCAGGAGTTACTAGCTGCTGCTGTTTTGACATCGTAGCGGGTCCTGTAAAATACTAAGGAGGCTTCCTTGAGGCACAGGGAAGATACTTGATGCAGAGCAGCTGTGATGAAGAGCAGGGTAGCACCGAAAGCGTGGTAAACTGAGGCAGCCGGGCTGATGTGCGGAGGGGTGCGGGACGTGCTGTGAAGGTAGCCGCCCTCAGAGAGGAGGGGGCTTGGCCTTGGTCAGCGGCTGCAGTCAGAGCCTGAGCGTGGAGGCTGGGGGCAGCGAGCTGGGAGGGATGTGGGAGGAGGGTCGGCCCCGTGGTTGAGGGGCAGCCGTGTTTCCAACTCTCAGGGACTCCAGCTTGGAAAGAGGGCGGGCAGGGGCTTGACAGACTGACCTGGAGCGCGGAAGAAAGAGCAGAATCGGGAAAGGAGCAACTTCATGTCATGATAGATGACATTTAAGGGAGGGGAGTCAACCAGAGCCTCCAGCACATGTTGTCAGCATCCAGCACACAAGGGACACAATGCTACAGAGCTTGGGGGACACCGGGCAAGGGGACAGACCCTCGTGAGGCCTGCACCCTGTTGGGGGGAGATGACCAGACAGCATATCGTCATATGCGACAGTGCCCTGGAGCACTGCTGTACAGGTGGGGTCACCCTGGCCCGTGTGACTCACTGGTTAGAGCATTGTCCCTTGGTCCAAAGGGTTGCAGGTTTGATTCCCAGTCAAGGGCGCGTACCTGGGTTGCTGGTTTGATCCCTGGTCCCCACTGGGATCATGAGGATTGTGTCTCTCTCACATCAATGTTTCTCTCTCTTCCTCCCTCCCTTCT